ATGTTTTCTCTCCCATTTTCGGAAGTGGAGTGGAAGTTGTGGGAGTCTTTAATTTGAAATTGTTGTTTCATCGACACTTATGATTTCTTTGTCTAACATAACCAAGTGGGGGTACTTCACGTAATCAGTTGGAGAATTGTGAATAAAAGTTTTAGTGCCATTATTGTTGTTGTGAACTCTTTTAGAAGAGTACATTTGTATGTTTTTTCAATATCACGTTATGCTTACTCGAGTCTTTTATGTTAAATATGAATTGAAAGGATTCATTTGGTGGAAACACATTGGTGATGGTTTTAAGTTTTAACTAAGTTCTACATTTGCACTCGGATTTCTTCTTTTTAGTTTCTTGTTGCCACATTTGTTCTTTCAGTAGAAATTGAAATTGAAAATGCAAGGCCTCCACGGGATGGTGTCGTCTAAAGGGATTGTCCCTTTATTTATTTATTTATTTATTGTGTTTGTGCGCTCAAAATAAAGAAAGGAAAAATCCCGTTTTCAGTATAACGTATAACTTATAATTTCATTCAAGACTCGTTTTGGGAAACATGTATCTTCTTTTGCACGCGTTCTGTTTTCCAACTTTTCTTGGTGGGCTGTTCTTATTCGTCTGTCAAGCACGAGAGCTGATGTGGCTTTCAGACAAGAGAATCAAACTATGAAGATCGTTCATTCATACATTCATCCATCCATCCTTCAGTTGCTTCCTTATAAACCCATGTTATCACTAACATGATCAATTGATCATCTTCTTTTCATTACAAGCATTTTACTATGATTGCATGTGTTTTAATAGTCTTACATTGAAGGTTAGTTTAGTTCATGTGTTTTGTTTTCTCCACATGTAATATGGGCTTTGGATTTGGGGCTATATGTAGCCTTAGAAAGCCTCTCTGAAGAAAATATGGTGCATCAGAAAAAAATGATATCCTTTTGATCTTTTTTCTTTACAATTTTGTGGTGGCTTCTTTGTGTTAATTGTAGGTTTTATTGCAGAAGTAGTGAAACGTAAAAAGCGCTTATAAGTGTTGGAGATAAATTTTTAAAATAATGCAATAGATTTCAGTAAGTGGAAATATTGAGAGAAAATTAATTTCAAATTTTTATTAATAATTACTTTTTGCACAGAAACAACCAACCTCCAAACAATCACTATCTTATAGCATGAAATAAATAAAAAAACTACAAAAAGCTTTTACAAAATTTTAAAAGTCTTAGCATACACAAAGCTATTAATACAACTGGCAAGCCAAGTTTCATAACATATAGAGCAAGCTAAGAACATAAAAAAATATAACATCTAATTTTTTCCATGAGACCAAAATTTTATAACCATTTGACAAAATGAAAGAAAAACAATAAATCATCTAACATTTTAATACCATGGCTCAACATTTCCACAAATGCAAAAGCATGGGACACATATATTTAACATATTAACACGAACAATAAGATAAAGAAGCTATAGTTTTGCTTACTTTTTCTATAAAAAAATTTAAAAAATTAAAGCATATAAGCATTTGGAGTATGTTGTAACAATGATATTTGTTCAATACTCAAGTGACTAGGGGTGGGATTTTATACCCGAAAACCGGAGAACCGAACCGGACCGAACCGAAAATAACCGGTTCGGTTCGGTTATTTAAAAAAAAAAAAAAAAATTCGGTTCCGGTTATTTTTTGTACAAACAGGTTCCGGTTCTCGGTTCCTTTCCAAATGTTTGTGCATTAACCGAAAAACCGACTATATACATGAAATATACATGTTTTCTATGTTTACATATATAAATCGGTTCCGGTTCTTGGTGTATATTATCGGTTCCTCATTTTTCTTTTCGGTTCTCGGTTTTTTACGATACATTTAGCACATAAGTTGTAATTTTTTGGTCGGTTATTAACTCAAAACCGGTTATTACCGGGTTTTTTCCATAAGCCGGTTATCCAAAGAACCGGAAGAACCGAACCGGTATAACACGGTTTGGTTTTTTTCGGTTCCTATTAATATATGTGTAATAACCGAACCGGTTATTTCGATTCGGTTTTGATTCCTGTTCCTGAAAAATTCGTTAAAAACCGGACCGGTCCCAGGCCTACAAGTGACTACAACTCGAAAAGTTGTCTAAAAAATTGTAATGTGGAAAAAGAACCAGATTTAGAAGTTACCTCTCCTCAAGAATAAAAAGTTACCTTACCATAAGCTTTATTCTATAGACCGGCCACGAACACTCAGTTTTTATTTGTTGATAAATGTTTAGACAGTATATTTATTTTCACTGCAACCACAACCAGTCAACATAAATAAAATACCATTTTTTCTTGTGGGTACTGATAATAAAACTTTGATGCAAAATTAAGAACAATCAGGCCACAATTTTATATGGCCATCATCACTCATAGATTATGTCAACTAAGTCACGGATGCATCCGTTCATCTTCAAATTCAAAATTAGGAATCCAATTTAAATTATAAAGAAACAAAAATAATAGAAACTTTTGTAAGGATTGACTACCTACATCAAACACTATGCAACAAAAGCAAGAAAAATATAATCCAAATTCAAATTAAATATAATATTTCTCAAAAAAATCCAAATGCACTTACATACATACCTTAAGAAAAATTGCCTACATCACCATTGAGAATCCCTCCTGTAAGTTCAACAATTCAAGTGGATATCTAACTATGAAGGACTACAAATATAAACTGAAGAACAAAATCAAATTAAAGAGAAAGGTAAGAGAAGGCTATCACAACTCTTTTCATTTGAGTTCTTATGAAAAAATACTACAAAAATATATGAATACTAAATAATTAAAAAAAAGTGGCTACTCAATGATCTAACGCGTACAAATTTGATTTTTCAATTTGATTGAAAAGCAAGAAAAGGGCTGCTTTGTATCTTCTTCTCACAATTACAAAAAAAAGAAAATCAGAAATAAATCTAATTTTGCTAACACACCAATAGCAGCGCAATTGTTTGCCATTTAGCCCCAACCAATATGGCCGGTGAGAGAATGAGCAGGGGAAAGGCAAATAAGATCAGCGTTCAACCAATCTCTCATTACTAACTGGTTGCGACGGCGGCAGAGTTTGGAGAGAAATGGTCTGTTAGGTAGGGTTTGCAAGTAAAAAGGTTGTTTCTTTTCATTATCAAACCACACAGCGAATATACAGTATTGAATAAAGAAATAATTTATGATCCAAACTCCTTTATTTCACATGGTTCGAACAAATTCTGTTCGAAAATGAGCAAGGGTAAAAAAGTAAATACACTATAGAAATCAATACGTGTCAGCAGCAGAAGAGCTACGTAATGAATAAAATATTATAAACAGCTGGAACTCCTTTTTATTACATATCTCATAACTAAAACATAGATAAAAGAAATAAACACGACAAAGTCTGAAGAGTAGCTACGAAAACCCTATTTCCTCCCTCAATTTCTGCCGCCGCCTAGCTTCTCCTCCCTCTCCACAGCCGCGCCCCCCCCTTCTTCCTCCGGCGACTCACAGTCCCAACCCTGCTGCTCTTCTTCGTCTGGGCCTGAGGTAAGTGGCCTTTCCGCCTTCCCTGTGCTGCGCCTTGTGGCGCCTCCAGCCGTGAGCGGGAGAGGGCCAACGGTGCTCGCGCCGAGCAGCCTTCTCTCGGGCTGGGTTCAGTGCCGCCGACTTGTCCTGATGCCTCTGCCTCGGTCCAGACGATTTCGGTGTCCTGGCCGCAGCTTCACCCGGCTGGCTTTGCCGCCGTCTCCAGTTTGGTGACCGTCCGTCTGTTTTCGCCGCCGGATCGAGTTCCCTAAGGATGCGCAAGATTGGTCCTCAAGCGTTGTTCGAAGTCGATCCATCCGTGCCTGCAATTGCTTTCGCCGTCGAGCAGTGGCTTCGGGCTTTCAGATCTCGCGTCGGTT